GAGATGGTAATTGGAATTTTTTTGTTAATATACTTAAGTTGATTGATATTCAAATGTTAGACTAAACTTACATTTTCAGGATAATCTCTAATTTTTCATGATATATTATTATTGTATTTGTAGCTGGATTAAATTTGCTAAAAATTTTAAAATAATATTTGCAACCATATTCATGAGGGATATTGATGTGTAGTTTTTGTTTTGCTTAGAGTTTTAATGTCTTTGGTTTTGGTATGAGAGGAATAATATAGCCTTATGCTCTATGAATCTGGAACAGAAAGAGGAAATCTGAGCTTGAAATATTGTTATAGGATTTGTTCCAATTAAGGCAACTTGAATAAAGTCAAGAAGAACTTACTAGCATGTTTGCATCATTTGAGGCTGAACAGGACCAACGATACAGCATTGAGGAGAGCCAAAATTTAAAGGAAATCAGTGGCAAAGGAGAAAAGGAAGGAACTAAAATGATGAAGAAGTCTAAATTGTTTCTTGGTGACTCAAGAATAAAAGAAGATTAGCTCAAATGCTGATATGCCCTCTGATCTATCCCATTCAATGTTAGTTAGTAGCATGGTTTCTCTTATCTTTGTTAAGCAATCAGGTGACAATTAAGACATCAAGGCACCCTGAAAATAACAATCAAATCTTTATTCACTTACTGCCACGGTGCAAGCAAGAAACAAAAAGAGACACTCTCCCAAAGGTCATCCTTCAACCAAAGATTAGGCAGGTCTATAAAACAAACTATAATACTCACGAGGAATGTGCTTCTTAGTTAAAGCATGCATACGAAACTAAAAGGGCAACACCTGCGCAAGAGCAATGACAAGAAGGCAGGAGGGATAGGAATAATGGATTTATAGAATGGGGAATTGGAGTGTGAAATGGAAGAGTGTTGACGCATGGCAGGAATTGCAATCAATGTCACAGAAGAATTTGTGTATAAATTGTTGAATGAGAAATTAATTTGCTCTGTGAAGTTTCCCCTAGAGCACAATTTAAAAAAAAGAGAGAGAGAGAGACATTGATCCTCTAATGTTCCTATTTTCCCCATGGAAGCAAATCAGTAGATGCAGTGCATATGGAGGGAATTATCTTACTGCCAAGTAGCCAAGAGCAGAAGACTCCTTCCTTCTGATTGGCTAGGGGGAGGGAGAGGAGAAAGGGCAAGGGGTGAAAAGCTGCTGAGTCAAATTGGGAGAGAGTGCCTAAGTCAAACCCTTGTTAAGGCCGTCTTAACAAATATCCCTAATGAGACCTACAAATTAAGGTGCCAGGTTGGGAATTCAGATATGCATGTAAGCATGACTGGCCTGAGGGGAGGGTTAGGTGAATCTTCACTGCAACTCCCTCCAAAAAACTGCAGTGCACAGACTGTGAGCTAAGTCTGGTGTGTGTACATGGGTGAGCAACTCCCCCCATGAGGTCTGCCAGGTAAAGCTTTGTAATTGTCTCTGGTTGGTCCTGAAAAGTAACACATAGAATTTTCATCTGGAGTATATTCTGAAAACAGCATTCAGGGTTCGTTGCCTTTTCTTCCTTATCTCTTATTCTCCCTCAAGTCCATTGTAAATGCTGCTCTCCCCACCTCACTGAAAGTATTCTTCCTAAATTTGCGAACACTTTCACATTGCATCAAATATCTCTTATTAGGCTGTATATTAGAAAATCTAGAAATTAGGTAACAAAAAGTCAAGGAGAAAGATATCATGTGCATAATTCTTTCTTAGAATTTGTCATTTGGAATTATGGTAAAAGGTAGTCTAACCGATTTTCTCTCCTTACTAAAAATTTGAAGACAAGCATGGTGTCTGTTTATTATTTACTGTTTTACATCAAGAGCACATGGCATGTTTTCTTCACACATAGGACTCACAGAACAAGTGCTTTTTGAAAGAAAAGCAGAAGGAAGGATAGAAGCAAGGGAGAAAGGGGTAAAGAGAAAGATAGAGGAAAGGTTAGTCAAAAGTGCCACAACCTGCTCAGAGCTCAACATGCTAGGGTTAAGGAGAGTCCACTAGAATTGGTCACATTGAGCATGTTCCTGACTTTACAAAAAGAATTTAAAGAAAATAAAAATGGGAAGACTGAGACTGTAGGAAACTGAGAGAGAAGTTCATGATTAGAGACTATCAATACAGATTTTTCTTTCCTGAGGTAACTCAGTGAAAGACAGAAATATTTATTTAAATATAATGGAAATTGGATAGGGACAGGTCTGAATTTAAGTGGACTTTAAATGTTTCAAACATAGCCAACAACAAAGAAATTTAGCTTATAAAATAAAACTTGTGTATAGAATTTCTCCGCATTTAGTCTATAGAGAAGAAGAATCAGAGAGAGTGGGGAGATATCTGCAAGTATAGAAATTATTTTGAGGATTTTAGTTTTGTTGCTATACCCAAGAGGGCTGACATAAAAACTTCTATGTCTCTCAGGGTTTTAGTGAGTGGCTGGAAAATCCCTCATCCCGTGTCCATAATTCCTCCTCCTTTCCCACACAGTCATAAGTGAACATTAAAATTGGTGGCTAGCAGCTTTCTTCTCTAATTTGAGCTAAAGAAATATCTACTGCATTGCTGAATGCCAGAGACCTTGCTATGCATTTTATTAGAGGATGAACACACAAACATGGTCTCTGACAGATTTTGGAGAGAGGAGAGTACCAGGACTGCAGAGATAAAAGTATAGTGTGAAAGACTATCCAAAGGTATAGTCACAGTGTAATATTGACAGATGGTCCCAGCCTCTACAAAATGATTAGAGTTCATGGCATTGTCAGGGTGCTGTTACAGAATGTGCAGATAGAAAGAAGAGGCACTGCAGAACACAAAAGAATGTGGGGCTGAGACTGAAATCCCAAGAAGAGAAAAGATTTGATGACTGGAAAGTATTTGAAGATCTGAAAATATACTTCAGGCATCTAGTAAGAGCAAAACCAGCTCTCAACAACCATCGAGGAGTTAGCGTCACTATTTCTAAGTTCACTCCCATAATTTGTCGTTACCAGCTTCTACAATCCCAATCCCTCCATGCCACTAACCAGGCACTCAGTTGTTTATGTATTTTCCCACATGCTGCCCCACCACCCGTACCATTCAGGTAAGTCTCATGTGTTAGCCCCTGTGTCAGACACTGTGATAACACTGTGATAGCTCAAAAGGATACCTATTTTACTTCTGACTGATATTGGAGAAGAAAAACTTTGTTCCTATTAGAAAGAGTCAGTGATCTGTGCATGGGGAAGTCATAGTATTGAGCATGTGGAGCAAATCTGTGAAAATCACAGTACTTGGTTGACTGACTATCCTAAATGTATGTTAGTGGATACAACCTCCCTCACATAATATAGCCCCTACTGACTTCATTCTTTCACTTGAAGTTTAGCAGCAGCAAACAAAAGCTACTTCCTTTATTTTCTGGCATACTTGATGACATTTAATATCTGGTTAGCTGATTTAGGAGCTTGCTGACTTGATTTGAAAGCAACTTTATTAAAGAGTCTAGGGAAAAATGAAATGACCCAACTCTATTCTTTACAGAATCACAAACATTTTCTTTATATGGCTTTAGAATTTCTTAAAACAAAATATGTACTTTTTTTATGATTTTGATCAGAGAAGAACTTTCAAAGAAAGTTCAAAGTTCAACTTTCAAAGGCCATGGTTTCAGAAAATTCAGTCATCAGTAAAATTGGTGATTACATTTTCTTCATTTTTCTCTAGCTCTCTTCTGAATCATTTCTGGTACCCTAAAACTTTGCCTTCTGTATCTTCTGTCTAGTTCTTCTTTGAAACCTTTAAATAAATCCATTCATCACTCCTTTTTCTAAGTTGCTTATGTCTAGGCTAACAAAGTGATTCAAGCTTTCCCAAATATCTGTATTTCATTAAGAAGCAATGGACCTTAACGGACAAATCTCAGGCTAATGATAGCTCTGAACAGGTTAAATCCAAGATATGGGTCTCTTTATTCTGGCTCAATTAACCATTTTCCCATTTCTCTATATCCTGTAGTTCCCTAGGAATGAGTCCTCTTCCCTGTACGTTGCTGCTGCCCATTCTGTCACCTCATAGAGGTTCCTCTCCTCTAAGTATTCTGTTATGTTCATTATAGAATTCTGTTTATGTTTGCTATTTTAAGGACAAAGCTAAATTTAATAATTTTAGCATTAGAAATATAAGCAAAAGGAATGGCAACTTTACTTTCAGAAATTTGAAAAGTAGCAGGGAATTTGGGCCTAGACTGGTCAAAAGAACATAAACTTGAGTTAATTTTTCTAAAGGTTCTTTTAGTATAACAATCTACAGGTGATATACATAGATATGGATATAGTTCTATAAGTATCTCATGCTGTTCAGCACCAATTTGTCAGAGTCTGGGAGTTTGCTGATTCAAACTGACAGTTCCTGAGTTAAAGAGAATTGGGAATAATAGACTACTAGAGAGTAGCTGGAGGCCTGGTGGTGCAGTGGTGAAGAGCTCGGCTGCTAACCAAAGCTCTGAAGTTTGAATCCACTAGCCGCTCCTTAGAAACCCTATAGCACAGCTCTACTCTGTCCTATATGGTCTCTAGGAGTCAGAATTGACTCAGTGGCAGTGGGTTTAGAGAGTAGCTGGAATGTGAGCTATGGAGAGATTCATCAAACTGATTAAAATTCAGTTCCTAAGGAAAATAAATTCAAATTTTTGGTCAACATGTCTGGAAAGAAGAAACAGACAGTTCAGCAGTTTGATCGCTTACTCAGATGGTTTTGTTGTTTCTAAATACAGTCAGTCTGCCATGTACATATATCTTATTGTGACACAGTGTTTGTGGATGTCTTCCCTGAAACAGTGATGTGAGAAGATGGATCTACCTTTTCCCATCAATAATATGAGTGAGATGGATGATATGCTCATAGAGTTCTACTAAATAAGACAGACTAAATATGCTGTTTTCTGATAAAATTAGGAAGTAGAAGAGAAACAGTAGCACTGACTGAAAATCTTCTTTTGTCTGCATCAGAAGGCCCAAGGACACCATGTCCGTTTCCAATATCACAATCTTCATGCCCTCTGTGTTGACACTAGTAGGGATCCCAGGCCTAGAGTCTGTGCAGTGCTGGATTGGGATTCCATTCTGTGCTGTGTACCTCATTGCTATGATTGGAAATGTCTTGCTTCTGACTATCATAAAATCAGAACGCAGCCTCCATGAGCCCATATACATTTTCCTAGGCATGCTAGGAGCCACGGATATTGCACTTGCTACCAGCATTATGCCCAAGATGCTTGGGATCGTCTGGTTTCATGTGCCAGAGATCTATTTTGATTCCTGCTTGCTTCAAATGTGGCTCATTCACACATTTCAGGGCATTGAGTCAGGCATCCTGCTGGCCATGGCCCTGGACCGTTATGTCACCATCTGTTATCCACTGAGACATGCAGCTATCTTCACCCACCAGTTAGTCATTCAAATAGGTACTGTGGTTACACTCAGGGCTGCCATTATTGTAGCCCCATGCCTAGTGCTGATAAAGTGCCTGCTTAAATTTTATCATTCAACAGTCATCTCCCACTCGAACTGTGAGCATATGGCCATTGTGAAAGTAGCTGCAGAAAATGTCCAGGTCAACAAGATCTATGGTTCGTTTGTGGCCTTCACAGTAGCAGGGTTTGACCTAACATTCATTACCTTGTCCTACATCCAGATATTTACCACAGTTTTCCGTTTGCGCCAGAAGGAGGCAAAGTTGAAAGCATTCAATACCTGCATCGCTCACATCTGTGTCTTCTTCCAGTTCTACCTCCTGGCCTTCTTCTCCTTCTTCACACATAGGTTTGGTTCGCATATCCCCCCTTATATCCATATCCTCTTTTCTAGCATTTATTTGCTTGTCCCTCCATTTCTCAATCCACTTGTCTATGGTGTAAAGACCAAGCAGATCCACAGCCATGTGGTGAAAATGTTCAGTTCTTAAAATCTATGCTAATTGACACCTTCTTGTATCTTTGTGCAACAAGAATCATCTCTCAAAACAAAACTTCCACGTTATTTGAGATGTATGAGTTTTCCATTAAACTACTTCTTGGAATTATAGCAACATGAAAGCTGGTTTTCAGATGATAGCCTAAATGAGCTATCACTCAGTAAGACTGTGGATCCTATCTGGGTGATAAAAGTGAGAAACATAGAAAGACCAACATAATGAATATGTATCTTTTCCTTGTCTCTTTAATTTTTAGTTCCCAGTATCTCCGTCATTAAAAAAATAAATGAAACTAAGTGGATCTTAAATGTATTCTTATTCAAAACCCCTTTATGAATCTGATGAGACAATAAAGTATAAACATTTAAACACATTTCCAGTCATTCAGGAAGTTATAGGACAAAGTGCATGATAACTCAGTTGTTCCACCTTTCACATCAATACTGTTTCCACTGCCTCTACCTTTTCCTTATATATTAATTCAACAAGTATTGTCAAGTGCCTAAAATATTATAAATATTATGCTAAAGATTAGTGATATGGTGATAAAATCAACACAGTGCTTATGCTTCATGGATCTATGGACTTTAATTCCTGGAAAAGAGAGAGGAAAAAAAAAATTGTAGAGGCATGAATGAGATGTAAGATTTGCAAAGAGATTGATGCGTTAGAATCTAACTGAAAGCAGTCAATGTAGGTGTTTTGTTTTGATTTATTTTATTTTTTCAATTAACGTGATCCTTTAGGAATAAGGAACAATGAATGAGTAACCAAAGGGCTGAGAACCCACCATACCAAGATAGATGATGGAGAAGATGTAAACTAGAGAATGTGGATTAAGGGAATTCCGGAGGTTTTTTTGTTTTTTGTTTTTCTTAAACACTGTTTTAATGTAAGGTACAATTCTGAGAGACAAAGAAATATGACTATCAAGAATGGCCATGAACGGTTGCAAAAGTTGGTTTGACTTTATTCTGAGTGCTATAATGTGTCATTGTAGGGTTTTTCTCTACAAGAAAGGCACTTGTGCATATGCGTATGTGTATTTGCCAACTTGGGAACTGCAATGCAGTAAATTACTTAATATGGCCCTTCTTGCCATGGTCTTTGTAACTCCCACCAAATGATTGGATGGGACCATGTTAATAAGGTGTATGAAACCCTGTCTAAGGGACTGGTCAATTTTGCCATTGGGCTAGGCTTAAAATCCCACCCATCCCAGAAGCAGGAGGAGAGGATCTCACCACCATCGAGGAAGAAGAGCCAAAAGCAGAGCACATCTTTGGACCTAGTATCCCTGTGCAGAGAAGCTCCTGGAGCCAGGAGTCTGAGAGAGAGAGCTGTTAACAGTGAAGACAGTGAGAAGTGGTGGCAGAGAAACAGTGGCAGGAGAAACAGTCAGGAGATGGTGCAGTGGGCTTCCAGCCCACCTGTGAGAAAGCTGAGTGCCTTTGGGCAAGAGGCTTGCTGGCGGAGTAGGGTGCCTCCTGGCACATGGTAGAGCTAGGTTTGCTGGCCCACGAAGCTAGAGCTGAATACCTTCAGACTGAGGCTTACTGGTAGAGTGGGGTGCCTCGGAGCACTTAGAGGCAGAGGTAAAGAGCTTTGTAACACTTGCCCAAGCAGGGCAGAGGCCGAGGGGCCAGAGAGAGGCATGCCTGTGGGCATAGCTGAAAAGAGACTGTCCTGATGGAAGAACTGTATCCTGAGCGTTCCTGAACCTAAACTGTAACCTGTTACTTCCCTAATGAACCCCATAATCATGAGTATTGTCTGTAAGTTCTATGTGGCCATTGCAATGAATTATCGAACTCAGCAGAGAAGTAGAAAACACTGTGGGAAGGAGAGTTGGTATCAGAATTGGTAAAGATGGCAGAGAAAGGAGGTATGTCTGACTTCTGTCTCAGAGCAATCAGCCTTGGGCTGTTGATCTCTTTTCCTGGATGATATTCCGTTAAACAAGTTCCCCCAAATTAACATCATTAATATTAGACTGCAGAGGCGTCCTATGATTCCTGATGTGATGAACCGAGAAAGGCCACAGTATTCTGTGATACTCCAAACAAAAAACAAATAAACAAATGAACAAAATAAGCAAGCGAAAATAACCTGAATCTCATCATGAGGAAATGTCAAAGGAACCCAAAAGATAGGCATCCTAAATACAAAAAAAAAAAAAAAAAATTGCTGTTGAGTCGATTCTGACTCACAGTGACCTTATAGAACATAGTAGAACTACCCCACAGGGTTTCCAAGGAGTGGCTGGTAGATTCGAACTGCCAACCTTTTGGTTAGCAGCCATAGCTCTTAACCACTGTGCAACCAGGGCTCCAAATAATAAAGAGATATGCTCTCCAAAAAAAAAGAAAAGAAAAGAAAAAAAGCCAAGATCAAAAAAGAAGAAAAGCTGAGGAATTATTATAGATACAAACAATCTCAAGAGACACGAAAATTAAATGCACTGCATGATCCTGGACTGGATTCTGGAAAAATAAATTGTAGCCATAAAAATCCTGATTGGGACAACTGTCTAATTCTGAATATGGATTGTGGATTAGGTATTATTTCAAGGCTGAACTTCTTGATTGTGGTTTTAATACTGTGTTTATGAAGTAGAGTGTCCTCCTCCGGAATATATACATTGAAATATTTAAGGTTAAAGGGGCACCATGTCTCTAATTTACTCATAAACCGTTCAGAAAAATATATATATCTGTATCTCTATCTATCTACCTATTTATCAACAATAGAATGATAGAGCAAAATAGGGCAAACTACAAACAACTTGTGAATCTCAATAACTGTTATAAGGAGTTTCCTTGTATTATATTTTTAATAAGTCATGATCTTAAAAGTACCTAAAATTAAAACCCATTGGCGTTAAGTCAATTCTGACTCATAGCAAACCAATAGGACAGAGTAGAACTGTCCCATAGGGTTTCCAATACTGTAATCTTTACAGAAGCAGACTGCCACTTCTTTCTCCCTCAGAGTGACTGATGAGTTGGAACCACCAATCTTTTGGTTAGCAGTTGAACACCTAACCACTGTGCAACCAGGACTCCTACCGAAAATTAGTACTCTAAAATTAAAATCTAATATGTTATCTCCATATACCAAACCAAAGCTCAATATATTTTGTATTATTTACTTTCCAGGAAGCCTTAAAATTCTTGCATTTTCTGTAGATAATAAAATGTTTCATGCATCTGTATGCTTGTCCTGCTATCATGTATGTTAATACTTTTTTTTTTTTTTTTGCCTGTCTAACCCCTAGTCAGTTTTTAGGATTTAGTTAGATGTGTCTTTTAATTAAGGGATTCTGACCTTCACCAGATTTATTTCTCTGTTCCTCCTCCGAGCTTTCAAAGCAGTTACCACATTGATCTCCATTTTTTCTTTATGCAACTGCTTCCTCCACCTAAATCATCTGTATGTTCACGACATGCACAACACAATGCATGGCATATTTTAATGATTACAAAAAAAAAAATTAAGGATTGACAAAATAAAACACTAAAAATTCACCAAAATTGGCAAAATAAACTAATTCTTGCACTAAAATTATTTACATCTTTTTCTTAATGAGAAGAAAATGTACAAGCTGAGGTATTCAAGACTCTGACAAATTAATAATATGGCATTTATTATAGCTCCAGAATAAACATATTCACACTTAAATTTGAGCTACGCTTCTTTCTTGATCATCAAAGTACATCACTGCACACATGCACCATGAAGTAACATTTCAAAACATATAGTTTTTCCAGAATATTCTCTGTAAATGATACTGAATCCACTGTTTTATTAATATTTAAGATATAATTCGAATATTCACAAATTCACCCTTTCAAAGTGTCCAAGTCATTGGTTTTTAATATAGTCACAAACATGTGCAACCATCACCACTATTTCCAGTACATTTTCATCATTCCAATAAAGAAATTTCATCCCTATTAGCAGTCATTCTCCATTCCCTCCTCCTCCCAGTTCCTCCTGTCAACTACTTTCTCTCTGTATGAATTTACCTATGCTGAATATGTCATATTAATGAAATCATACAATACGTGGCCTTTTGGGTCTGGCTTTTTTCACTTAGCGTAATGTTTGAAAGGTTCATCTGTGTTGTAGTATAAATCAGTACTTCATTTTCTTTTTTATGGTTCTACTGGATGGATATCCTGGAGTCTGCTCAAGCACCTAGCAGACAGCTCTCTGGCCAAAGTTTTTCCATGATCTCTCTTTTCTCTGCATGGGAAGGACTCCATCTAAAGTAAGACAGAGTGACGAATAATATAGGCAAGGCCAGTATTTTATACTTCCCATGTTTCATTTAAACTTCTTTCTTCTCATTCTATGGATGTTATCAACCATCCACAGTCAAAACTATTCATCTTCCATTTCTAACTCTGTGATATTTCAAAATTAAATACTTTATTTCTGGTTTTCTCTGGAAAACTTGGTAAGATCAGAATCTCTACTAAAGATTTTCTTTGTTTCCTACTACATTATCTAGAGGTTTTTGTTTCCATTAAAATGCTTATGGAAAAAATTATTTTTATTTAATATTAGAAGTTCTAAGTTTCCCCACCATGTGGGGACTATATCTGTCACCAAACAAATAAGTCACGTTATTTTTTAACATATCTTATTCCTCCATTGTGCTACTGAATTTTGACTAACTAGCATCTAAGAATACTTGTGTCACTAAGAAGTCCTAGAGGCACAAAGGTTAAGCACTCAGCTGTTAACAAAAATGTTGGCAGTTCAAATCCACCCAGAGGCTGTGCAGGATAAAGACCTGGTGATCTGCTTCCACAAAGATTACAGCCAAGAAAACCCTATAGAGCAGTTTTACTTTGTCACATGGGGGCACTGTGAATTGGAATTGACTCAATGGTACCCAACAACAATGTTCTATAATATTGTGATTCTTTGAGGTTTAAACACTTTTTGCATGTTTCCAAAAGTATCTTGAGAGCCATTCAATG